GCGCTGCGGGAGCGAAGCCGCCGTCCTGCGGCGGGTGCGGTGCGGGGCACCGAGCGGGGGGGCTGCCCGGGGTGTGCGGTGTTGGTGTCCCCCCTCCCACCGGACAAACCCCCAGAGGATTCTCCGGTGGGGAGGCCGGGAGGGCCCTGTATCTCCCTGGGGGGTGTGTCTTTTGTATTTTTTTTTTAACCAGCACTGACTGTTTTGGTTCTGCTCACGAGTTTCTGATAGTAAAAAGCCTCTTGGTGAGAGCGATGTAAATAAAAAGCAGTTACAAAAGCTGCTGTAATAAAGCCCTGCTGTGGGTTATCCTCCAGGAGTGTATGTGAAGGTGCTGTGCCAAGGAATCCAAAGGTGCAGGTGCCCACAAAAGCCAGATCTATCGTGAACTCCAGATAGTAGTGGCTCAACAGCAGGCAAAACTATTATGGGGAGGGACTTTTCACTACTGTTTAATGCTTCTCAACCTCTGTGTTTGAATAACGACTCTAAAAGCTGCTGGATTGTATATTTCAAACTTTAGCTTGATAAATGTTGATAAAACTACGGAAGTAGTGTATCTTCCTAGAGTGGGAACTGTGTGTCAATTCTAACCCAGGAATCAAACTAGGTCTTCTTTTAACGAAGGCTTAAACGCTGTTAAATTTACCTTCTGAGTTCCTGATTTGCCCAGGAAAGCTGTTTTCTGTCTGAACGTCTGAAGCTCTTCAGTGCTTGTCCCAGGCTGTGTTAGTGCCTCTCAGGATGGGGCCAGGTTTCTTTTTTCTGTCTTCCACTATCAGTTTTTTACTTCTATGTGCAATCTAATTGAACAGCCTGTTTCTTTGACTGAACTATTCTGATCTTTGGCAACGAACATCTCCAGTGTTGTTGTGTTTGATGCGATGCTGGTGTGCTCAGTTACTGATGTCTGATAGTTCCAGCCTGGCTGAGTTCTTGGCTCTGCTGTCGCTTTGCCTCGCTGCGGAGGTACTTTGATGGCCTGGCTGTAGCTTTCCTTGTGTTTGAGGTACTGGAGGCTTTCTGCTTATTGAAAGGAATAATTAAAACAGTATTTCCTTCAAGTTTGTCAGGCATCACCACCTTAACTGTCACTGAGCAGCTTCACTTAGTGCAGAGGTCGCTGTCACCGCAGCAGTGGGACTCTGCTGTGTTCAGTGGATGCAGCCCCTGAAGGGAGTCAGGGTGGATTTTATCCTGAAAATAGCCCAGTGTTCACTGAAGTTCCGAAATGCAGAGTGCAAAGTGTGTGTCTGCTGTCGGGGAATACCTTCAAACAGGAAGATACTCTGAATTAGAACTAGTGTATGTCTGAGGTTTTTAAACTGTGTCTAAAATTAGAAGTCCTTAAAATAAGACACCTTTAACAACCAAAAATTAACTTAGGAACATCTACAAGGAAGTATTCCCAACAGCTCATTGATGGCATGGGATTCTTGTTTAGTTTCAGCTTGGACTCTCTGGTCCCACCAGAACGAAGATCTTCTCTGTAATTAGTATGTCCCTTGCAGTTAGTAAAGGGATATCTCTACTGTGTACTTGAGAGCTCAGTGACAACAAGCTTATGCTTGGTTAACTTCTGAGACTTCCAAAAAAGCTTATTCAAAGAACTGTTCCAGTTTACTTATCAAAACAAGCCGTACCACCTTTCTTTTCCTGCTTTCCCTAGCTCTAATATAGAAATAAGAGCATTTGCTGTTTGTAAAGGCTAACAGCAGTGCTGTGAAAACTTGTATTTCAGGTCCTAAGACAATTGTGTGAAGTTAGTATTAAGCAATCAACTCTCTCTTTGCTTCATGAGTAATTCTGTTCATTACAACAGGCTGTTATGAAGGTCACTCATCTTCAGTGAAGAGCTCTGAGACCGAATGTGTGATGATGTCGTTAAATCCTGCGGTTAGACTGAATCACTTGAAGCTGTGTATATTTATCATTGTACCTTTTCTCCTAGATCAGTGTAACATGCTTTTTTCTTTCACTTCAAGTACTGCAGGAGAATAAAGAGGGAATACAAATGGGATAGCTTTGCAGACAACGAGGGGAAGTGTTAGCCCAGAGCCCTGTGCTGCTGAAAAAGTTCAGCGATCGCGTCTTCTACTCGGCTCTTCCCTTCAGCAGCCTCTGGTCCCTGTGGCCATCCTGGTGACACAGCTCCTGGGGGTTCTGAGTGATTCTGGCATGAAATAGTTCTTTGGTTCAGGCAGATTAAAGCTTTATTTTAGCAATGGAGTTTTTTGACAGCCGGGCCATCAAGATTTCTAACTTCCATTGTTATTTGCTAAATATTATTTGAATTAGTTTTTATTCCTAAAAGACAAGCAATTAAACTGTTACATCTTACCTGATGCAACTGCTTCTTTACATTTTGTCTCTCAGCCTTTTATGGGTGGATTTGCCTTTAAAAAAACCTGAAACCTTTATTTCTAGCTCTGGAGCAATTAAACTGTTACATTTTACCTGATGCAACTGCTTCTTTACGTTTTGTCTCTCAGCCTTTTATGGGTTGATTTGCCTTTAAAAAACCTGAAACCTTTATTTCTAGCTCTGAGTTAACTGAGTAATTAACTGCAAGACTGGCAAAGGGTGGCTGAAGATGTGGGTGTGATGGTTTGGATCCTTTCTGGTCACAGGCAGGTTAGAGTGGGGTCATCAGCAGGAGTGTGA